AAACAAACACACACAGACACACACACACACACACAGACACACACACACAGACACACACACACACACACACAGAGACACACACAGACACACACACACAGACACACACAGACACACTCAAACAAACACAGACAGACACACTCACTCACTCACTCACACACACACACACACACTCGAGTTCTCCCTCTCTTGCACTGAAATAAAGGATCACCTTTTCATTAGCGTCAATTTGCATATAAAAAAGAGAGATGGCTGATAATTCTAATTTCCAATTAGACTGGAGTGTTGATAATGCATCCGTGAACAGCTGAAGCTCCGAGTCGAGCGTTTAATGCGACTCTGTCCTCACTTCACTTTTATTGCCTGCAAATTCAGCTTCTTCAACCACAGCCGGCCACATTAATGCACCACACTATATACATACAGTATATATATATATATATATATATATATATATATGGTTGTGTACCATGGTGATACCATGCTATTTTTTGCTTTAAAAGTACATTACTAATATATGTAATATAATCATCAAACATACCAAAAAGTAACTTAGTATTAGCACTATTATTACCAATTATATTATTTTGGTTTTTCAAAGTATCATGGAATTTTTAGATTTTTATAAAGATAGACCAGTGAGTTATATATAATACAATTTTTACGTATAGTTGATTATTTATTTAACCCATATTTTATATAGTTTTTATTTTTTTAATACATTTTTTTTTTGCACATTTTAACTATGGAAGTACTATTGTTTTTGGTCATGTACCATGGTTCATTAAAATAAATAAATAAATAAATAAATAAATATAAAATGTAAAAATAAATTTTTTAATACAATTATTTAATAATAATAATAATAATAATAATAATAAATTATTAAAGATTAATAAATTATGTAATAATAATTAATAATTAATTAATTAATAATAATAGATATTAATACATTAATAAAGATTATTATTATTATGAACACTAATTTATTATGAATATTAATTCTTAAACCTGTGAGTCAGGTTTGCTGGAGGGCGTATTGGGTGTTTTCTTAAAATGAATAAATGTGTTTTTAGAGGAGATTATTTATTAATAAGCATCAATGAAGAATCAAAAGCTCTGCAGATTCTCCACATTCAGCCGCTTGTGTTCGTTTGTTAAACGTATTCACTTCCTTCAGCTGTTACAGTTTTTTCAGCTGCTTTCACACTAAATCTTTCCTCGTCACACGGTTTCTGAAAGCTGACACTCAAACAGCAGAAGCACACACCAAATCTACAAAACTAGCAATTCTTGGATTGTGTGTAAAGTTTTGAAAAAAAGAGGCAAAGTTTTGAAAATGTGTGTGAGTAGCTGAAAAACACTGTAATAAACCCTGGTTCAGATCCACAGGTTCCTGCAGACGATCCTTCAACACCAGCACAGAAAAAATGAACTCTAAACCTGTTAATAAGCGTCTGAAAACAGCAGGCCATAATTTAAAGCATCCAGCGCGGTTGTTGTGAGACACTGAAGAAGCCAAATAAATGTGGAAGTTCTGAAAGGAAATAATTGGAGGAGGAGGAGTGTGTGAAGCGCTGAAGGTCAGTCCTGTTCTTCTGTGTCACCGGGGAGAACACAAACTGCTGCCTGTAATTGCTGGCGCTCTGCTAATTGGAAGCAATTAAAGATCAGCAGCATGCGACGTGAAGAACGCTGGACACGTTATTTTACAGCAACAAGCCCAAAACACAGCGCACTTGACCCGGAGCAGATCGCGATGATTCATCACAGCCACAGAAGATGCAGAAGTCTTCAGTTATTTACTCAAATCTAAAATCTCAAGTCTTTCAGTGAATTATCTTAATATCATTATTATTACATGTACTTACACACACAAACATGTATATGTGTATATATATATCTCATAACATTAAATGAAAATAACATAAAAATAATTCACTGAAACACCTTGAGTAAACAACCTACGACTCTTACGATTAAAATAGCAGATTTATTTAGATGTTATGCTTTTATATAATTTATTTTATATATAAATAACCTATTTTTTATTTATGCATTTATTTACATATTTATTTATTTTTAGAAATATTTTGTATAATATATATTTTTTAATATTAATATATTTTATATAGTACATAGTATATATATATATATATATATATATATATATAGCAATCAATGATAATGAAATGAAACATATAAATAAAAAAATTGTGCTGTTATTTTAATCACAAGAGTCTCAAGTCTTTATATATACATAAGTCTATACATACATATATGTGTATGTATGTATGTATGCATGTATATATATACTGTATATTGCTTATTTATATACATAATAAATGATATAAAAATATATAAATATGCTGTCATTTTAATTGCAAGACTATTAAGTGCATCAGAGTGAGAAAAAGTTCCACTTTAAGGGTGCGTTGCAATAAATAATAATAAAAAATGTAGTCTGGTTTCGTTGTAAAGGGCAGCGTTTAAATTATTCTCGGCTCACTGGCTGCTAATTACCTGCTTGAGTTTCTCTCATATAACGACTGCTTTTCTCCTTCAGAGACAATCACAGCTGCTGAAATAATATTTATGATTATAGTTACTCTTGTTTACCAGCACTAAAGTGCTAAAGTTGAGAGTTAGTGAGTGATTCCTCAGATGCTGCTGCTTTACTCCGTGATCAGGAGCATGCTGTCTGTCGATCACACAGTGAATCTGAAGCTGTGCGAGTGTTAGTGTGTCCTCACCCCGTTGGCTGTGCTGACGGCCTGATAGTAGACGCTGTAGCTCTTGTGTGGCAGCAGAGGAAGGTTCCAGTAGCTGTCGTAGGTGCGGTTGTCTCCGACGGTGAAGGGCAGCGGCGTCTGGATGCGAGCGGCTGGGAACTCTGCGGTGAAGTAATACTGAGAGTTCAGCACGGACGCGTTCTGGAAGTGGATGGGAATCGGGTAACAGCGCAGGATCTCAGCGGCTCTCC